TTTGTGGAAAGTACTTTTCTTTCTTCATTTCTGTCTCCATGATGTTATAGCTTCCACGGCTACACCATGCATGCACCATACTCCCTATAGACCCAAAGCATCACAGGCTCCACTTCAGCCCCATTGAGTGCGCTCACATTTGGGAGGGGCACCCAAAGCCATTTGAGGTAGTAGATGAGGGAGCTCAGCAGATTCATTGCCAGAATAATTTACTGCGAGTACTACAAGATTTTTCATCTGTGCTTATTGTAAGCATATGAAAGGACTTCTCACCTGTGTTGCATTATGAGTTGAATACTACATGTGTGCGAGAACACCTCATAGAGGAGGATCAGTCCATGGCTTAATGTCTAATCTAATGAGGTCCAATAAAATGATGTTAAAAGGATGTTAACATTGCAGAATAAAACATCAGAAGCAAGGATATGCCAGAATTGATATGACCCGTGGAAATCCAGCCTCATATGCGTTATGGTGCAGCTTTTATTCCATGACATACTAGGCTTTCCAGGGGAAGTCTTCTTTATTCAGTGAATCTGTAGTTACTTAGATTTTCTTTTTATCATCTTCCTCATTCTATGTTTGTTAAACATGAAGCATCCGAACTCGATACTGACTGTAAAATCATTCTTTGTCATTTAGATATTTCTCTGCTTCAGTAATCGTAGTACTTCAGTGCATAACAAATGCATCTCTTTTTCACAGTACCCTCATAATACTGGATACTTTCCAATACTGAGTTTTCACATTTGAAAAGTGAAGAACCAAGGCAGAGATTAAGGCAGAAATTGTATAAAGGTTGACATTTTTTGCCCAATTTGAGGCAAATTAGACCTTCATTTTTCTGTATAAACCTAACATTCATACACCATCTTGTAAGTTCAAAATACAGCTTCTGAGCTTGGATCTTTAATTAGATCTGCAGTGCAGATGAGGTAGCAGAAAGTAGGATGTTACTCTGTGCAGACTGGTCGCTAAAGGCACTAAAGGTTTTCTAGTGCGTTTCAAAGGTATTTGATGAATGGTCAAACTCGCGTTGATGGCGTCAGTCTCAGAAAGGAGAGCAAGCTGTGCTATTCTGTCCTGTCCCAGCCAGTCCCAGTTCTCCTCCACTGTCCACATCCCACCCCTATGTCTGCCACTTTTTTTTTCTGTGTGGCTTCTGCCCTCCTCTCGTTTTGCCCCCTTGAGACCTCTCTCTTGTTCTCTACTTTGTTCCCTCTCCCTGTTGATATTTTTCCTGTGTTCCTCCCTCTCCTTGTATTCGAGTCAACGGGATTTTTCTTTTTCACTGTGCTGCCTGGGTATCTGCAGGGTGGGGGAGTGCACTGATGAAGCCAAGGACAGTTTCTCCAGTGCTGGTCCCTCTCCTCATGTGACAGGGGCTCCTAGCAGTCAGAAGTAATCACAGGGAAAGTCTTACTTAGCTCCTGTATCCTTGAGATGACCTCCAACATCCCGTGTACTAGTGCAAATAGAGTCTTCAAAATTTCAGCAGCCAGACTCTAAGAAGACTCTAATGATGCTGTGAAAACAGAGATTTTTTTTCAGAAGCTCATAAACTTGAACAAATTTGGCAGCATTTCAGAGATGGTGATTCCTAGGTGCCAGTATCCCTTGTACTCCCCTCTTTCAGTTTTGGGATACTGCACCAAAATTTGGAGACACTGAAGTCTTTCGGCAGCATAGTGCATGATTTTTTAAATATGGACAAACAGTATGTTTTCTTCTAAATTTACAGCTTTTTCTTCTAGATTTACAGCTGAAACGTTTCAAACTTTTTGTAGTAGGCAGCCAAGGTAGGAGATTTCAGCCCAATTTTACCAAGTTCATAAACACCTGAAACTGATATCTTACCACTGCAGTGAATGATTCTCAGCATATCTGTAACTAAAATGGTGAGAAAACCTATGCACACAGACAAAAAAAAGCAGAGTGGCAGGGAAGAAAGTTTTTTTTAGCATTAAATACATGAGAATGTAAATAGATGTGGTGTTAGGAAGTGCTGTTTATTTCAAAAACAGCAAATCAGATAAGCTGAAAACACAGAAAATTATATTTAGTCTTTGATAGTATGTTTTCACAGTGATCTTCAGTTCACCCTCAAGGGTGGCACAATTTTATATATAACAAAATATATTTTGCTATTGCAGTAGCCCTAAAGAGAAACCGTGTTCATACTGTATGGCCACTTCAAAGAAAATCTCTTGCCTGTTTCTCCTTTAAGAAATAACATTTTTATTTACTCATTTTTTTCTCTCAAAGAGTGACCTTAAATTTACATAGTGAAGTTTACATTCAGTCTCAGAGGCAAAGACAGTGTGCTTATACTGTATGTTTCCTCACAGAATAATCATAGCCAAACTGCACGATCTACGTACGTATCAAGTTCAAAACCTGAAATATTCTTATTTTTTTAAGTACTTTGTTTTCATTTCAATAGTTTGAATATGGAATACTCCCTTCTTTTTTTGTCAGAGTTTGCTCCACCTCTCAAAATGTGAGCATATAAGACAGTCTTTTGATACAGTTGGACCATGGTTTTTCTGCCACTCCCTTTGAAGGTATAGCAGAATTTTATGATTTTTAATGTTCATCACAAAGGAAATGCATAATCTTTCAGTCATTTCAATTTCTTTGTTATGTTGGTCAGAGCAAAATACAACAGCAGTGTTAGCAGAAGTGGGTCAACTCACAGGTGAGTATCCCACTATTGCAGAACTGAGAGAAGAAACACCTCTCTCATCCCTGCCCAGGAAAATCAGGGCTGTTAATCTATTGTGTATATTAAAAGCGCTCAAATGGCATTACCTTTGGGCTTCTGTGGTAACTGCCTACCAAAGGACCTGCCATCACTTTGCAAAGTCAGGGTGGCAGGGTGTGCTGAGGGACTGTCAGACTCTCCCGGAAGGGGTGGAAGTCAGTGATCGACCTTTCCTGACCTAGAGAGTGAGATCTGAGCCTCAGTCCAAATATGAGAGACAGTGCTACCGATGAGAACCACACAAAAGACAAAGGAATTGGGAAAGAATGTATAAGTGCCAGCAAATTTTAAAATAAAGAGATTGCAAAAATGACGTGGAAACAAATATAAGTTAAAGGGGCAAAGATTAAGAAGTTTTACAGAGAATTCCTACTGAATAAATTAATTAGATGCATTTATATTTTTAATTAGATATTCATTTTATATGCAAAATGAAAAATTACTTTTCCTGCCAAGTCACTATAACTTTCTGTTGAGACAATCTGCTTCTGAAAATACAGACTTCCTCTCAAGGAAAATAGAGTGTTTTAATTTCAGTTTCTTAGAGTGATATTGAATTTGTGTTTTGAACAATTGCCTGATAATGTTGACATTCAGTGTGCTAATTTGAGTGTATTTTGTTCTTGTTTGTATGTTAACACAAACTTTGGGCATTTTCTGGGTTCTTATTTCTTGATCTTGTACTTATATTTCAAATTTCTTATTGTATTTCAGATCTATTGTTACTTCAATAAAATTACAGTGAACAGAAAACTATAGCAATGATGTTTGTGTCTGAGTGCGTATGAAATAGTGACCATGAGTTTCACATTGTTGTGAGCCTTCATTGTCTCTAATGCTGAGCCATTGCACCATCCCATATCTCTGCAGTATCCTGCAACTATAAACTCCATGGTAAAGCATAGTGTGCACAGTGAAGAAAATATATCCAGGAGGCTGAAAATTAGTGGGGCTTAAACAGATATTTTGGTAGGCTGAAAAAACTAGTAAAAACTAAGCAAAATAAAAAACTTGGAAGAAGATACTTCTTTTTGTTTTGAGGGGATTTTTTTTTTTTGGGGGGGGGGGGCATGCTGCTGTGTAAAATTACGCTTTAGAGACGGATTTTTTATTTTAATGGCATTCCAGTTGACACCTGCTACGGTAATAAAGACAGTATTAACTTATCATCATTAGGGAATTTTGTTGCTTCTGAAAATTAATTTGTATGTAAAACCATATATGGAACTGTAATTATTTTTTTCAGTACCTAGAATTCAAATGCAGAGTAGAAATCACTGTCTCTAGAACCATGCTTGTACTTATACATCTTTAAATGATGTTGCACTTCGTGTAATCAAGGCATTTAGGGAAAATACTTAGCATTAGTCTTCTTCTGCTGGAGTCAGTGAGTATTTTTCATAAAAATGGAGTTTTGAAAACTCCATCACAGCCCTGGATTCTGCATTAACCCACAGGTCAGCAAAATGTTTGTCTCCCTGCAGAAAGTACACAAAACTTAGATTACCAGAAGGTAGAAGTAAGTTTTTGTAGGAGATACTGAAGATCCCAAGGAGACAGCTACTCTGCAAGAGAAGTTTTCTGTTTTTGTTTGGAAGTGATGGATTTATTCACCTTTAAGGGGCTAACAGCAGTGTATTGCAAAGATTAATATAAAGGTTGAAATGCACTTCTTGTAATTATATCTTTTAAGTATGTGTGAAAGTGGTATATGTAATATTTGAAGTTCATTGATGCATTAGGAAAATACATTTAACATACAGTTATCAGATTCAGAAAATGAAAACTAATGTAGCAGTTGTTTAGCTAACATTGCACTTTGCCCCAGAATCTGGTGTTTATTATTGTGAGCTTTAGCAGGAAACAGAAGCAGTATCAATTGGGAAAACATTTCTTTACTGAACTGAGAACAGTATGGCTTTCTAGTTTCTAAGTGGGGAACCTGGTTCTTTGGTTTCTTTGTTCCTAGTTAGACTACTCCCAAGCTATTTTAGTTGAACGTTTTACATACTAATGGAGCCTAGGGAAGTGCAGCTGGCAGCTGTTCATGGGATAATAATGAAACACACTGTTTAGTATTGCATACTGCTGCTGTAAAACGCGGGAAGTATTTTATAGAGATCATGGTGAGCAGAGCTGTATCCACTTTAAGCGATGTAAGTGCGTGAACTGTGAGTGAGGAAGTTGTGTTTTGTGTTTTCAAATGAGACTAACTGGCAATCGTTTGCTTTTGCAGGTAAAGAAAACGTGTACAGAATCAGATGTTTCAGAGCCCCAGAATTCGAGGTACAGTAACTAAAGACAAATGCTTCATGAGCACCGTGATGTGGAAGCGTATAGAGCAATGTTGCAGATACATAGCATTAGCATGTGAGAGAATTGCTTTGCAAAGAATGAAAGACTAGATTAATTTTAGCTTTTTCACTCGGGAAAGTTTTTTTTGTTTTGTTTTTGTGTTATTTCTCCTCAGTTGAAGGTGGGGGGTAGCATGTAGGCTGGCAAGAGTTTAAATGGTACCATAATGCTCATTTGTCATCCTCAATTTAAAAGAAAATCCTATTAAATAGTGTACGGAAATCTGTGTAGTATAATTTCAATCTTTTCTTTTAGCCCTTCTCTGCATGCCTGAGTCTTGGAGTTTTACTGATTTGCTTTTATTGTGGGCAGTTCAGTCTTTATTTGGGTAAATATTCCTTACCAAACCTTTTTTGTTTTCACTTATAAAAACATGCCTGTGTGTTCATAGGTTAGGAAGATGCCATATATTGCTCAGAAATAAACTTTTCAAATACTAATTTTTCTAATTTCATGCACACATGGAAAAAACTGGCTTTAACTTCCATCTTTTGCATATGTGTGTATGGGTGTATATATGCTTTTGAGCAGGTGAAGTAGTAATTATTTTAGATGTCCCATCAAGCATTCATCTTCTTGTTTAATAATAAACTGTTGAGCCCTAGTGCATGATTTTATTTAAATTTGATGGATAGCAGTGCTTTTTCTCAGTCTTTGCCTTGCTTCTGTGTCCAAGAAGTAGGTTTTGGTTTCACAACAACTCAAAAGCTTTACTAGTGAGGGGAGAGACACAAAACAAACCTAAAGTTACACCAGCATTCTAAATAAAACTCAGAAAAGCTAAGTAATTCAAGGTTTGCCCCCAAATCTCATTCTTATCTATGTCTTTGTGTCACTGTTGCAGCAGGATCCTCTGAGAGTTCGGAGTCACCTGTAATATCTGAGGCCAATATAACATCTGTGGCTTGAGCTATGCTGTGCACCGTTTGTATTTCCTTGATTTGCATATCATGTTCCTTTTCAACACTTCCTTGCCTTTCATTCAGTTTGATAATAACATATTGAAAGGAAAACAGCATTCAGTTGTCCAAACATGCTTCCAGTGAAGTCAGTAGAGCTTTTACTTTGCACTTCAGTGGAAATGTATTTTGTTTTCGTCATTTAATAACTTTTACATGAAAATTTTATCTGCTGTCTCTCTGCTTTGGATTAAAATTTATTTATTATAAAGGTCTCGTTCTTTCCAAGTACTTTGATGGAATGAACGACCTCAACTCAGCAAAACGTTGGTGCGTGTGCACAGTTTTAAGTGTCTTGTCCTAATGAGACTACTATATCTTCAATTTTAAAAAATTGTAAGTAAGTCCATGGACTTAGCTTCATCAGACTGTGATATTGCAACAAAATCACAGGACCCAGGATCTGATACACTGTCATTATCTTCGAACATTAGGAAATTTCTTAGGAACTGTAGTTAAATTCTTTGTATGAAGTCTGAGGAACAGGATTTTTTTTCTCCTAAGTTCAAAAGGAAGCTGACATTGCAAATAGTCAATTTGAATAATAAATCTGTTACAGTTTCATTTTTTTTAAAAGTGCATTTTCAAACAAAAATGCCTTTTATTTTGAGCCCCAAAGCCTATGTTTCAGAATATATCAGATACAATTGAAATTATTGTTCCTGGCCTGAGTGTGTGTAATGTTGTGTATACAGCCTGAAGCAAGCCTTTTCTATCAGATGTTGATTCGTGATGCGACTTTGGTCTTACAGTGGAATCTCTGACAGACCTTTGACTAGAGCGGCGCTAGAGGGCACCGCATAGCACATTAACCTTTAAAGCCTGGAGCAAGGTAATTCTTCTCTAAACAAGTCTTAAGTGAAAACATTGCACATAAAATGAAACATCAGCATAAAAATGAATGCTGGAGACACACTGCCTTACAGAATAGCTCCTGGCTTGGGACCTAAGGCCAATATCATTCATTTATTTAGCTAGCTTTATAGTGTGTTGGTTTTGGATTTGAAACTATTACAATAAATGCAGATGGAAAGTGTTTTTACAGTAGGGAAGTAATTAAATTGGGTGTGGGAACTTTGTCAGAAGAATTCTTGGAGTGACATGTGTGTATCAGCAGATTCTTTGTCTTGCTTGGCCTTGGTTTGTCTTTTAGAAAAAAACATTCAAGCTACAGATGTGACTAGTAAAATTTTGTTGAAGAGAATTTACTAACCTATGCAGCATATCAAAAAAATTCTTTCCAGAAGTATCCAGCTATATAGGCAATAAAATTCAACCGTCACAGGCAGTTATTTATACAAAATGGTTGTTATCTTGACAGATAGGTAAACTGCACACATGCAGAAGAAACTGTAGTTAAAGAGTTTAAGTTATAGTGAATACACAAGTTATAAACATAGAAAACATGCATGAGTCTTTAATGTATCTGTTGCAAATTTTGACTCACAAGTGGCTTAGTCTCCAGAATTCTGTCAGAATTTCTTGAGAATTATTTTGCTACATCCTTATGAAGTGGTTGTAAATACTTCCCTTTGTCCCAATCTGTTTAGATATTTATAGTATACTTATCATGGTGGTATTGTGGCTATATGAATCTTATGGCATTGTTTTTGTCGTGAACTTGTAATACAAATCACATTTGCCTTTCAAGTCTCGATAGCTGTCCAGCAGTGCAAAATGCTCATGGCTTTCTGTAGCTGTTCTGTAAGACAGAGGCAGCAAACGGTTGGGACATGCCAACAGCCATACTACACTATAGGTGTAGTATGCATGGGTGACAACTCCAGTGCAGTGACGCTTTATCCAATTCACTGGAGAGTAATTAGGAAGAGCAGTTCCTAGGCTCAGAGGCTATAGAAGTACATTGCTCTTAATTTTCTTACATTGTGTGGGACTGATCCCAAGTACACTGAACAGTCCCAACATTAAATTTAGATGTCATATAAGTTAGCACTGTAGTGCAATGTATGAGAGTTAACTTGTTTGCAGTTATGAACCAGCTGCATTTTTATACAGATAATCAGATAAAGCGATTTTAGTTCTAATACATATATAAAAAGCTTGAATAGCTTTTTTTGCCTTAAAACATATAGACTGCTGTTTCTTTATGTAGATGCATATTTTATTGACCATACTGAATGCCTGTTACAGCCTCATATCCCAATATATTGTTACAAAAATGAGTAAAACATCAGAGTATTTGAGATTCTGAAGTTTGAAGGTAGAAGGATAAATATCTGAGTCCCAGAGTCCACAGTCAGCTGCAGCATGTTCTTTTTGGCTGCACAGCCGAGGGCAGCATCATTTTTTGTGACAATCGACTGCTTGAGGGGTCTTCTACCCCAGATCTTCCTGTCCTCACCAGCTGCTTGCTGGATATCTAGTTTGCAGGGTTATAAAATAAAACAGGGAGGAGAGAGAGGAAGTCCCTAAAAGTGGAGGATGAGCAGAGACATCTGCCGATTCCTCAAAGTCCATAGATTATAGGAGCAACATCTATGCTTTTTTATCCTCTTTAGATGATAGAAGAGTCTGCAGAAAAAGGACCTTCTTTCTCTCTTTAAACCATGAACTTTA